AGAGCGTCACTAATTAGTGAGGGAAAGTGATCGTGAGAAAGAAGGAAGCAAAGAGGCACCAGGTTTGGCCAAAGTGCCAGTCGGCTCCACCTGGAGAAGCAACGGAAAGAAGCCTGAGCCGCTGCAGACCGTCCCCTCGGATTACTTTACTACATAAAGAACTCTAGAGTGGAAAAAATAATAAAATTACCAAAATAACAAAATGCCACCTTTCCCTGGATATTTATAAATGCACACAATACTGACTGCTTGCATCAGGAAGTCCACTCTAGTGGGACAGGTGGTTTGTTAGAGGAGCAGACACTATTCTCTGGGAATTTCTCAAAACAGTAAGATGAACTGCTTCAAGTCAAGACCCAAAGTGTAAAAGCTCGCGCAGTAACACCTTTAGGCTGTTCTTTAGAAATCCCAAATATAAAACAGACTTTAAGAAGACCCAGTCCCACCCTCACCTACCCTCAGCTTCCTGACTACACACCTGTAAACCAGAACCGGCCTCTGTGGCATAGCTTATATTCCTGAAGACACGTGCTCAGGAAGGCCCTTGTCCTCTGAGGGGGCCCCAAAAGGGAACTAAAGGACCCATCAGCTGATCCACAGGGAGAACTAACAGCCAGCTCAGTCCTTTCTGGCTATGTCCACAGTTCTGCACAGCTGTATTATGATAGCTGCCCACCCTAACCTGGCCTCCACACTGAAAGGCACGCCTTAACCCGAGTCTCGGTTCTGCCGCACCTGCTCTCCCACTGCAAGACGCCAACTGCTTTGCCTCTCGCTTGGCTATTACTCCAGACACATCGTGAGGAGAAAGTCCAAAAGAACTGAGCCCCTCACAGACATCAGATGCTCTGACTTATGGCTGACTTAGGCTGTGTGGATTTGCTGTGTAACGATCTGCACTGGGTTTGATAGATTAGCCACCTCCTGATCATTTAATGTCCTGGGCCTCAAAAAGGATACCACCAGTGTGTTAGCACAAACTAATTTGTTAGCTCTCACTGGTTCTGAGTCCCTATTGGACTCAGAGAGTGGCGGGCCCAAGGCCAATACCTGGATGTTCGCTCTTCTGTTTTTCAGAACGGTGCTGGACCTACCCCTCCATTTCTGCTTTTTCTTCTTCCTCACGGAAGAGCACTGCGCCTCTTCCCTGGCACATGCGCATACTCCCCTGCGCTCCAGGCTCACTCCCGCCCAGCACTCAGGCCTACTCATTCATGTCAGTGCCTCATCTCTCGTTCATTTCTAAGAACACACCTCCCCTCCACCGAAAAACAATGTCTTCCCTTAGCCTCTTTTTTAATAAAAAAAATTCATACGATATATTTTGATCGTGTTTTCCCCTCCCTCCACTCCTCTCAGATCTCCCCACCTCGCTAATCACACAACTTTATGCTCTTTTGCTCTCCCTCAAAACAAAAAAGCAAAATGAAACAAGAAGCCCACAAGAATACTAGAGTTCACTGTGTGTTGGCCAACTACTCCTGGGCACGGGTTCCGCCCTGGGATGTGGCTGATGCACCACTGACTCTGCTGGAGGAAACTCATCTTGTCTTTGCACGGAGGTATCAGCTGTGGATAGTTTCCTGGGTAGGGGTCGGCGCCCCTGTCCGTTCCCCTTTCTCAGAGGTGGGGCCCCATCTGGGCGGGACCTGCACATGCTGCCTCAGGCTCAGAACTCAGGCTAGTTCATCTGTGCATCAGCTGTCGTGAGTCACCCATCACCTCCAGCTCTCACAATCTTTCCACCTCCTCTTCAGCACGTCCTTGAGGGGACAGTCATCCTGAGGAACAACAGTCATCCTGAGGAGATGGTCGGTCCCCCTATCTTAACGCTGCCATTACACTGCCCCTTCCCAACAACAGCTACCAAGTGTGCTCCCCTCACCTTCCTAACAGAGCTTTGGCTGAATTCTGTGTGTGCCTCGGCCTTTAGCCTAAAGCGCTACTCAGGATACCTTCCGAGCAACCCCTCCTCTTTTGACACCCAGGACCCTTTATCTTGGTTACCCCTTACATCCCTAACTCTTTTTCTGGTATGGACACTTTTCCGTTAGTCTCAACATAAGCACCACCATCTTTTGAAAGATACATGCCTTCTCTATGCTGCAGGACATCACTGCCCTAGACTGACTAGCCCATTAATTCCCCAGATAGCTCTGCAATCCTACCCTCCTCTTCAGGGTTCCTGACTAGTTCCAGCACTTTCCAGACCACTGCTCCTGAGCTCTGCACGTCTCTACAGAAGTTCCCAGGGACAAGCTACCCAAGGTGGTATGAACACCTAACCCCATGGAGGGGGGCAAAGACAAGAGGCTGATAAGTTCCATCTCAGCCTGGACTACACAGGAAACACTACTTCAGAGGAAACCAGCAACCAAAACAACATAAACTGAGTCCAGTAGCTTCCCAGAGTCCATGAACAGAGAGGAACATCAAAAGCTATAAGGCTCTCGAGTGCTCAACCCTACCTCCCAAACAGGCAGAGTTTATGCTCTGGGATTTCTAAACGAATTTCTGTGTTGTCCCTAGAAGGCCGAGTCAAGCAGCAGCTCTGCATGCCTTTTGCCTAGAACACCCTGCCGTAACCCTGTCCACCTGACTAGATTCCCAGGCATCCTTTCTTCCCACTTCAACCCTCGGGTGCTCTTTAGAGTTTCTCGGACAGTGTCCAGACGATAGTTCATTCAGACCTTCCAGGGCTAACAAGGCCTTCATGGCTGCCTACTGAATCTAACCCACACAAGGCTCCAGGGTGGGGACTGGGATGAGGGGGTCCTTGTCCTCTGCCAAGTACTACTTCACCATTATAAGTCCTGGAACATTCCCCTGGAGGTAAGAAGCACTTTTCTCACATGTTAATTCTCCAAACACAGAGCCTTCTTCTCTAGGCAGAAGTCTCAGGGTCCCGAACAATGGAAATGTCACATTAACACGAATATAAAGGCTAAAAAAGGGCAAAGCATGGGGTGCAGTTTAATAGCAGGCTATAAAGCACCTCCTCTACTTCTTGCATTAAACTCAAAGGGATTTTTTTTTCTTCTTGTTCTTTACTGGCTCTTGAACAGAACAGCACTTAAAAGAGTTTCGATGGACCAAATATTAACCAGCCTCCAACGGGCAACTGATTTAAAAATAGCCCTTGACCTGGAAATATAGGTGTGTTCAAATACACACCCTGATAAGAAAGGACAGAAGATACAGCTCAACGCCTCAAAGCCTAGCAAGTCAAGGGCTCCTTGAGAGAACACTCCAGAAGTACAAGAATATTTCAGCCGTTTGACCAAGTTCACCCTCATCTAAGAAATCACCACAAGATGAGTTACAGATGGACGCATTTCATCTGGGAAAAATCACATTCGCCACATACGTACCAATGACAGCTAACAACACAGCATTTTATAAACAAACACACAAGCCAGTGGGGTAAACAAGTCACCAAGGGGGGGGGGGATGAAGAGTCTAATGAGGCAAATAATACCACAGAAGCCGTTCCTATTTTAAATACTTTCTGGTGCTTACAGTGTAAGTAAATCCACTCAAGAGCTATTTTACGCACTGTTTCACGTTTTCAGGACACGTTTTGTCTTAATAAAAGCTCATTAGCTTTCTCTAGTTAAGGAAGTCAACATGAGGAGGCTGGTATTTCCTTGATTCCAAAGGATAGCAGTGCTAAAACAAAATCCCAACCTAATTAATTCTATTCTGGGTCTAGTTCCCAAGGCTGTTTCCACAAAAGGCTGTTCTTAGCCCCACCGTCTCCAGCTTCCAACCTTGCACGGCTAGAAGATGTATCCTATTTCCCAGACTCTCGTTTGAGCCTCGTACCTATCACCAGTACGGAAGACGCTGTCAGCTCACTGAGTCCAAAGTTTTGGTCCTAAGATCACCAGCGTGTTTATTGCTTCCGTGTTTTCCTGGCACAGATTCGTACCTCAAGCTCCATCGAGTTCATTAACAGAAGCTTTTGGAGGAACAATCAAGCTGCCCCTAGTGTTAGAACAACACAGAGGTGGAGCAGTTAGGTTCCTGTCACAAAATTCAGTGAGCTTGACCTTGGCCCACCTCAAGACAACTAGTCTTTCTGTTTTGTTTTGAGACTGGGCCCAGGGTCCAGCTTTACTACAAAGCTGGAAAGTATTATTGTTATTTTTTTTTTTTTTGCCACCACCTTTCCCTATTCCCTGGTGCTGGGATTATGAGCAAACACCACCACACCATCATCCACAAAAGAATTCAAAAGATGATTCAAAAGTTTTGAGTTTCTCAAGCAAAGTGGAATTCTGTAAACGTAGCTTTTATAGCTAAGGTATTCTCTGGCCCAATTTCCCAATCTACCTATTTCACACGGTCATAAAACTGCATTTTTTTTTTCTCCAAAAGTTCTTACTGGCACCAGTTTATTGGGAAACACACCTAAACTCCTGGCTAGCTTTAACTATAACAGTGGTACTACATGCAAGTCTTTATGTATGAAGCAAGGTTAATCTATCTTAAGGTGGGGTATGTATGTGAAAAGTCTGGAATTAGCCTGTTCGGTTAAAGGGAAACCGCTGGTGGGGGACAACTGCCCCGTGAGCGATGCTCTCGCGTGTTCCCCATGTACGACAGCCTCAAACCCTCCGAAATCTATCAGCCCGGAAAAAAGAACAGAGAAATGAAAGCGCAGCTTGGAGCAGCTCCAGAGCCGGTCTGCGTCAGGCTCCAATGACAGCCTAGAACCCAAGGTGCCCGTCTTAAGTTTACTCCCAACTTTGTCGCCCTACCAAGGAGAGGCGAGGGAGTAGACTGCCGGAGCGCCCGCGGTGACGGGTTCCATCCTGGCCCCCGAGCGGGGTTAGGGTGCGGGGTGGGGGAAAGAATCTAAAGTGCACAGGTTCAAGTGCGGCAGCCCCGGCCTCGCACGCCCGGGGAGACACGCAGGACCCCCGCGGCCGGCACGCCCGCTCCGGGGGTGCGGCCCGGGCCCCGCCTCACTCTCTCGGTCTCTGTCTCTCACTCACTTTGTCGCTGGTGCTCTCGGTTTCGTGGTCGCCGCCGGCCGCCTCTCCCTCGCGGGGTGGCGGTGTCCCCGCTCCCCCGGGACCGGGGCAGCCCCCGCGGTGCCGCAGCTCCAGCATGTCCCGCTCCCGCGTCGCTGGCTGGGCTGGCGTCGTCTAGCGCCCCGCCACCGCGGAGCCGAGCCGGGTCACCCCCAGAACGGCATCAACGAGCGAGAGCTCGAGGCCGCCGGCAGGGAGTGCGGGGGGCAGGCGCGGGCGGGGACGCGGCGGCGCCGTTGCCAGGTGCGCGGCTCCACGCACTGGCCCCAGAGGGCGGAGGAGCGAGAGGGAGCCCGGCCCTCCCTCGCGCCTCGCGACCGCGCCACACGGCTCGCCCGCCCGCCAGCCCCACCTTCCCGCCGCCGAGCTCCCGCAGCACGGTCACGCGCCGCCGGCAGGCCCCGCCCCGCCCGCCCCTCCGCGCTGCACTGCGGTGCCCCGGGCCACGCCCCGGGCCATGACGTCACCGCCCGGGCCCCAGCGCAGGTTGGGGCTCGGAAAGGTGCGCACCGGGCCGTGGAGGTGGGAGACCTGGAGGCGAACCCGCGCGACAGGAAGCCCTCGACGGCGCAGGGGCGTTAGAGCGAGCTCAGCCGGCTCCTGCAAGGGACTCGGCCCAGCTTGACGCGCCGCGGCGCGGCGGAGCTTCGCAGGCGTCCCCAAGCAGAAACTTGCTCGGCAGGACAGACCCGTTGGCTCCGCGTTCCAGCTTTGCCTCCGCGGTGCCTGGGGATGAGTTGGCCAATAGTTTAAATCTCGTACCAGGTTCTGCACTGGGAAAACTCGGGCTTTTGATTTTGACTCTCACAACATGTTCTACCATGGGTTCCACAGAGAACCTTGGATGCCTTAGAGCGCCACCGCCAACCGTGTCTCTCCGAAAGACAAGGACCTTGGGACGCTAAAACTGGAACGGGACGGACACATGATCTGCGTTAATTCCCTTCTAAGTCCTGTTAGCAGGTTCTTAGTTTTCTTCATATGCATTTGCTAGCCGGTCCTTAAAGGCTAACGTGACACGTATTCCACAAACCAGGCAGCAGAGCGCCTTTAATGTAATAAATCAACAAATTCTCGGGTCATTACTGACAAAGTAAAAACAATTAATATGTTGTTCTTACACTCTAATAACTAGTCAGGAAAACTCAAACATCAGATTAAGACGCAATGAGAAACAGCAGACCTTTAAAGCCGTCAAGTTCAGTTAGGGATGCCAGCTTCATTTCCCAAAAGTGTAGAGGAATTATAATTTGTTCTTTGTAAGCAGAGTAGCAAAAAATAATGAAGACGGGCCGGAGAGTGCTCAGCGGACTCTGAGACACTGGAAGCCACACATAGGACTCAAGTTCAATCCCCAAGCCCTGCATACATGGGGGATTCCAGAAAGCTGTCCTCTGATCGCTACATTTATGATAAATAAATATCACTGAAAACTAATGGAAGACATGAGTAAGTCCTATGCGTGATTGTGTGTGTGTTGTTTTGGTTTTGGGTTGGTTTGTTGGTTTGTTTGTTTGTTTGGGTAAAATAATAAAAGACTTCAAGTGATTAGGTTAGTTCTACATTTTTGGAGGGCCAGGGATAAAGCACTTTCTGATGGGAAGGTAAAGTAATGGCAGAAGAGGCCACAGAAGGCTGTAGTGAGTTAACACTTTGGCTGTCTATCCCACCTGGCAGAAAAAAAAAAAAAAAAGACTTTAAACTTTCTTCCACGAAGTTGGGGAACCAGTGTTCCAGCCCAGAAGCGTCCGTTATCTCTGTGGCCTCTAGGAAGTGGGTAAGCCCTGTCTCCATCTGTAAAATAAATAGGAAGGAGGCCTCCTGACCCCTCCTAGCCCTTACAGAGGCTAGCTTTTCCTTCCCCTGGCACAGGGAGGTGGCTTAACACTTCTCTTTCCCTCCAGCAGTCAACCCCTTCTTCCTTCCTTTCTTTCCCCTTTGAGGTAGGGGGAGTAGAACTAAGAGGGATGAGAGAAGACAGTGAACATAACAGAAGAAATGGTGCTCTCCCTCCCTTCTCTAAGTTCTGCCGCTCCCTGTGTTTCAGCTGACATGGTAATTTATTTCTGTTTTCATTATAGTTATTGACTCTAGTTGAATGATCGATGGAACCACAGACTAAGATCTTGCCCCAGAGCCAGCCCTTACCCTCAGTCAGCAGCGTTTGTTGAAGAAGGTGAATGGAAAGCAAATGGGTAGAGATGTATGGCTTGACAGGACGTTACTTGGTGCTCATGTTTTGTCTTTAATGTTTTGACTTATACATTGTGACTGCTGTTCTTGGTTGTCAACTTGACTATATCTGGAACTAAAACCATGTCAGGTGTTTTTCTTGGTTGGAAGACCCACCTTAAATCTGGGCCACACTTGCCTGTGGCAGCCAGAACTTGGAAGGAGGAAGTTCTTGATGTTTTCTTGCTTGTCCTTGCTCTTGCTGGCAAGTTCATTCCTTCACTGTTCTTAGAGCCTTCTTTGGAATCCCTGAGTGTACTGAAGACCAGCTGAGACATCCAGCCTCATGGGCTGAACAACTTTTGCATTCTTGGACTTCACATCAGATGACAGTCATTGTTGGAATACTCAGAATACAACCTGCAAGCCACTCTAATAAATCACATAGATGAGAGAGAGAGAGAGAGAGAGAGAGAGAGAGAGAGAGAGAGAGAGAGAGATAAGGTAGGTGATATATAGTAGGTAGGTGATAGCTAGTAGGTAGATGATAGACAGATAGATGGACTGTGTCCAGGCTGTCTCTCTAGAGAACTCGGACTAATTGATACACATGTGTATCCACATTTCTTCATGCTTCACTTCACCTTTAAAAGAGATTAAGTTTAACATGTATTCAAGAAGTTCTGGTAATATTTTATATTTTAATTAAGATGTATTACAATCTATTCAACGATAACTGGCTTTATTGCACTTAACGTTTGCAAACTTTATTCATGACCCTTTTTCTTTCCTTTTTTTTTTTAACTCTTTCACTTTTCTCCACCTTTCTTTGTGTTTGTGTTCTATGGTACAAAATCTGACATGTAAGGATTCCCAAGCCTCCGCTGTCACTACGGTTTGACCTGCTGAAGGGCCTCCAGGAGTCCCCAGAGTACATGGGAGACACTGGGTCAAGAGACTCCTGGCTAGTTTGAAGAGTTTCCATGGCAGTGGTCCTGGAACTGCTTAGCTCTTACCAAGGGAGTGGCTGCGTAGTGTGAGAGCATGCAGTGATGATGTTATTTTTATGGTGTCTATTTTAGCTTGGGTTTTAATTTTTCCCATTGCCTGCAATAATAGGAACAGAATATGCAGAGACCTGCTACTGCTCCTCGAAGAACTGCGTCCTGAGGTTTCTAGACTGAGTAAAGCCTCCCTCTTAGGTGAGAATTTGAGCTGCTTCCCACATCCTTGGCTGTGTTATTCCCAGATCACAGAGTCCCCCCAAAACCAACCAGGAGACCGAGCCCTGTATATAAAAGCAAAGAGCCTTTCTTACACAATTTTGCAAACTCGGTCTCTCCGTGTGTCCAATGTATTACAGTGATCAGTTAGAGTTGGGTTTTTATAAGTAGCAAAGTTGGGGGTGAGAGGATTTCTAAGGTTCAGGACATTTGGCTGACATTTGTCTAGGGGTGTCCTGGTGAAGAGCAATGGGTGTGTGCTGGCAGGTGATCCTGTCTACCAAGGTTGGAAGGAACCTTAGGAATTTCCTTCGGTTGGTTTGTTCCTGGGTGCTACCTGGGTAGTCTCAGTTTGTGGTCTTCATAGCCTCAGGGTAAACTACTGAGACTCAGGCCTCTACAGAGCTTGTCAAGCTGGGCCCTACAGGCTTCACATCCCAGCTCACCAAGCGAAGGAGAACTCTGCCTCACCAAGGGTTTCTGGTTGCCTGGATACCCTTCCTATAGCTTTTGTGGCCTGACCTACCTTCTCTGCTACCTCTTCCAGCTCTTTATATAAATAAGTTGGAGGTAATCATTTCTGATTTAAGGGGAAAGAGAAGTGAAATAACAAAATAGATGGCTAAAAAAGCCACAAGGTATCGTATGATTAGCTATTTACCTAAAAATAATACATGTAATTCAGTGCAGATAATAATTTTAATGAACTTTCCCCAGCTAGGCTGACTATGCTCCTTCCAAGTGGTTTGAATAAGAATGGCCCCCATCAGCTCGTAGGTTAGAATGCTTGCTCACCATGGGGGTGGTAATTTTTGAAAGGTTTAGGAGGTGTGGCCTTGTTGGAGGAAGTATGTCTCTGGGGGTGGGCTTAGTGGTTTCAAGGACCCAAGCCAGACCCAGTGGCTCTCTCTTCTTCCTGCTGCCTATGAATCTAGATATAGAACTCTTAGCTACTTGCTCCTGCACCATGTCTGCCTGTGGACCACCATGCTTTCCACCATGATGATAATGGATTAAACCTCTGAAACAGCAAGCAAGCCCCAGTTAAATTCTTCCTCTTATAAGGGTTGCTGTGGTTATGACACCTCTTCACAGCAATAGAATATTGAATAAGACAAATGACTGAATAAAACCCCAATACCTGACAGGAGAAGCCCTTTTCTGAGTCGGTGGCCAGGGCTAAGAGACTCCCAAATATAAGGTCAATCCCTGTTGCTCCAGGTTACCCCCTAAAGGTGGAAAGTAAGTCCCTATTGCTGAAGACACCATGCACTTCAGAAACAGGAGCCAAAGACCCCTGAGCAACTGACAAGGATGCCCCCTCTAGGAAACTAGCTTTTATGGTATCAGAAGGCACCATGCAAGCTTCCAGAGAAGAGAAGCAACCAACAGTCCCACCCTGCTATGACACCTATGAACTACATCAGTAACTACCCTACTGGTGCAGTAGTGGTACACATTACTTGTTGATAACCAACTACCCTCTAATTGGACTTAAGACTCATACAACAAGAGAGATTCCATGCCTAGCACTGAAAACCTACGTAATTAACCAGTGCTAGTAAAACCATGGTTATTGGAGGAGAGTCTACAACCACTGAGTTACAAAACCAGAATAATCCCTAGCAATAACCTAGAAACATTTGACCTTATATGCACGTGTAAGTGTAGTCTTCTCCCCTCATCAAGTATATGTCTTTTTGCATCAGAAAGAGACCAATCCAGAAAACCACAAGCAGTCAGTATGGAGAGCTGTGGAGCCTAGTCCCAGCAGACACATCTGTGAAACACTCCTGCACCTAAGCTCAGGGAACATGGTGGAAAATGGGCACAGAAAGACGGTAAGAGCAGAGGCTCAGGGAGTTTGTCATGAGGGTCTGTCTTCCAGTAACATAGGAAGCTATGGTTGTAAAAGCTTACCAACATGACTGCCCAAATGTGAGCTAACTGAGGAGAATATCAATGAGCATGCCAAAGCGCCCAGG